GGGGGGGGGCGCGGATGGGAGGGGTTAACCATGACAGGCGTCTTAAGATGGAGTAATGGGAGTAGATGAGAAAGCAACGTGTGTGTCGGACAGCTCAACTCGAGCGGAAAAGAAAAAGGCAAGGGAGGAGGAGGAGGAAGAAAAAAAAAAAGGTGATGCTGCGTTTCGGGGTCATTGTCGATTGTGGGCCCATCTTAAAATAAAGTCTTCTTTGGGACGGGACACCCCAGACCCCTTTTTGTTTCCCCGCCTTCTCCAAAGCCGACAAGGTTCCTGGCGCTGCAGATTCGTAGACTCGCCATGAATTTGGTTGGTATCGATACCGAAAACACCTTATCGTGTACTTTCCAGGGTACCAGTGCTGCCACCGCCTGTTTTTTTTTTTCACAACAAAAGTTTTCTTCCCTTTGATTAGAGAAAAATATGAATCCCTACCATTTTTGTCTTGCTCCCAAAATTATATAAAAGAGATTTAAATACAACATAAGGGAGCTGCTTCTTCTTCGGTGATTTAAGCACAAACACTATTAATCAATGTGAACTTATACTACATAACATCCCACTTGTACAGAAAATCGAGTAAAAGTTAATTTAGCCCTTCGTTTGGAATTTACTTGATCAACTATTCACATTTGAGGTCTTCATTCTCTGGGAGGTCACATTTTAGGCCGCTGTGACATCACGCGTGAACGACGCTTTTAACTTATTTTAAAATTTGGGAGGGGGGAGGGTCTACATTAATTTCTTTTCCGACAATCTTTCAAAGCACAAGTTCGCATTTTGAAAGAGGGGGAAAGTTAAAATCACGAGAACCCAAAGAAAGTAGCTATGTAACATTTCTTACCCACATCGTTCTTTTTAAGAAGTCGTGTGTAGTATCGACCCGGTTACGGCGTGGTGATATCAGCCGTGGCACTCGGCGACTCGAGCCAATAACCGTGCGTCGCTTGTTTTCCCTTTTGTTGCCAAATAGGCTGGCGCTCAGCGGAGAGCGGAGATGTAACATTAGGACCAATTAACCCTCGATTACCAGTGAAAAGGAGCCCGGCTCCACGTGTCGGCCGCCATTGTCGCATAAAGCGCGCGCAACCCCCCGGATGACGCTGATAATAATAATTCAGAGCTAGAGGGGGAGAAATAAAAAACGGAAACTGTCTCGCGGCGTCGTGCGCCGGTGTTAACTCTGGGCTTTGATTAGCTCCGGTGTCGACCTGTCGCGGTTCCCACAAGAATTTTGCTCACCTGTTGGCCTGGCTCGACCAGGGGGGGATCGGGATCATGAATATTAAACAATCTCGATTGCGCACTTGAACAATTACATTGTCAGTTTTATTGTTGGAAATGAATAAAAGGCGCAACTGTTAGTGCACCTTCTATAATGGGAGTGTTGTCAATTTTATTGAATCGGAAAGGTTCGGACAAGCCTTGTTGTTGGCCACTTTACTACGCTCGGGCACGCGACCATTTCTGTTCTGTAGTGGCGGCATTGTTGAAATGAGAAAGGGCGGCGGGGGGAAAAAATCTCTTCGTCAGAATGTTTTAGGCCATTGAACTGATGGAGAAAAGAGGGAGACAGAAAAGGGAAGGAACAGCAGCAATCCAAACTGTGAACAACAAGACCATCATCGGCTCTTGCCGGGAGAAATGTCTCGTGTCAGATACAAAAACTTGTCCTTAGTGTTTGATTTACGTCTTTATTCCAAATACGGGATATTATTATTCGACCCAGCGAGTGTGCGGCGGGAGGAAATGACTCATCTAGAAGCCTGAAAACAATACTTCTGCCTTTATGCCGCCGATACGCTTCCTGTTTTCTGAGAGGTTCTAGGATGTAGATCTAGACTCTTGCCAGGAGTAGCGATAAATGTCCAACATAAAGATTGGGATCTCCGACTCTACAAATAAAAGACAAGAAAGTAACCAGGCTCTTCCTTTTTTTTTCTCTCGTTCTCTCTCTTCTTGGCATCCCTTTGTTCTTTGTTTTCTTCGTCTTTGTATTTCGGGATTTTTTCTTTGGTGCTATTATTAAAACATATTCAGCTGCGTTTCTTTTCTCCCTGACCACCGCTCACTAACGTATATAGGCCTGTATCGAGTAAAAGTAAACTTTAGCACCCCCTCCCTCATTGAGGACTTAACTTAATACGCACTTCTTTAGAGTACATTTGGGTTGCCATGACATTTTGCGTAGAAGACGCTTTATTTTAAGAATAGGTAGGAGGTTGAAACTTACTTTTACCGGTGTTTGATTATGTTGTTCGTGGAGAGTTCATAGATGGCTTAACCTCGCCTCTCATATTACCCTGTGATTTTCAAAACAAGCGTTAAACCCTTAACTTTGTCGTGCATATCTTTGTTGGTGTTGGTCCATCTTCAGTATTTAGTTTATTTTAATGGCTTGCTGTTAGCTAATCAGTTTGTCGGGTAGTCTACGTGATTAGGTATTTCTCTTTCTGTTTGATCTGTAAGGAGGTCCTTATCATCATCATCATCATCAAGTGTCAGATTTGTGACAGACATCGGTGATCGTGGTTCTCCGTTTATTCATTTGTTCGGATGCTCTCATGAAAGCTAAATTATCATGACTTTTCTTCGTCACCCATCTGTTTAGGCTCTCCAAGTAGGTTGCTTTGGGTCCACCCCTGCCTCGTTTGCCTTCAATTTTGCCAGTGAGGGCTGGATGTTAAAGGCTTTTATGTCCATCCGAGTGTCTTAGAAACTGCATGTCTTTTCCTGATTGTTAAGTATGCCCCACTGCAACTTTTCACTCATAAAATTAGTTACACAGAAAACTGACAGAGGCTTTCGGGTGGTTGGAGGGTGCCACTGGAAGGTCTTGCTTCTTCTCGTTCTTGTGTTATTTCAGTCCCCCCAAATAGACCCACCTCTTCGTGGTTGGGGGGGGGGGGGATTAGTACTCTTCGAATAGGAAAAGAAAAAGAGGAAGCTAACGGGTCCAGGGGTGACCCTGAAAAGAGACATATTACTTTACTATGTTTTTTACTCTTTCTATTTATTGTTTTTATTGTTTTACTGTATTACATCTATTAACTTCTCTTTTCTCCTCTCTCCGTCGACAACCTTTCCTTGACCTGGAGTTGGGATGGGTATTGGTGGGGTGGAAAGCAGAGGTTCATTGTCAGCACTATACTGGATGTGACTTTACGTAGGGAATACTCAGCTACATACATGTATTTTAAGCATGCACTTATCGGAGAGCCATATGACTGCGGAGAAGGTGCAGAGACCATTTGCGTCTTGCTTGTTGACAACATTAACCCTCTGGGATCTGACATGCCTTCCCCTGCCCCCATCTCTCGGATGAGAGGACTTGGTTGCACTGGGGGGGGGGGGGGGAATCTAGCTTCCAATTGGTATTATTACTACTACTAGAATTATTATTATAATATTATAATTTTTGTATTTCAGCAACACACAGCAATATGCTCTTAATAGCGTCTTTCTCTTCTTTATCTCCTCAAACAACTTCTCAATATAATACAACAGACACCAACATACCCATTCATTTTTCTTACAATCTCTCTGTGATGGAGTTGGGTTTTTGTTTGTGGCATTGCACCTACAGCCACTGCTTTATCTCCTACCCCGGGATGGAAGGAAAATCTCAGAACCACCAGTTTTAGATGCTATTCAGTTTTTCAGTGTTATTTCAGTCTCTCGCTTAAACCTGTGCTCTAAATAACGGTGCTCGTGGTGACGTGCTCCTCTCTTTTCAAGCCAAACCAACGACAGGAAGTTGACATTTACAAGACATTCAAGACATCGGTTTGTTGTTCCTGCGTTGGGCAGGTGGTTGGAGTGCGCTCTACCAGTTTCTGATCCTTGAACACTTCTCAATATTTTTTAAAAATCCTGACCTAGTCGTGATTGCGAAATATGCTGTTTATCGTACTAACATGCCTGCACTGACATTTTGGACCATTTTGAGTTGCTAAGACCATGGGGTCAGAAACCGAATGTTCTATCTACTCTATCAAAATTGTAAGATTATTCGGAGTCATTATCAAGATATCAAAAGAATTGCTTTCGAAAAAGCTGGCCATGTTTTGAAACTCAAAGTTTTTTTAACGTCAAATTTATCAAAACTAGATACTGAGCAGATCTAACTTTGTAATTCTCAGGTAGCGATATGACAGTAAACGCTGTACGACCCCATCGACACTCTATAGATCTTTCAGGAGGTGGGCTGCTTCCACCCCGCCTTTCAGGGCTAAGCGGTATCTCATCCCAGCACAAAGACTACGATCCTCGCCAAAATAATCTTCCCCACAAGGGAATCGAACTAGCGTCTTCTGCGCTTGTGGACGAAGGGCCACACAATTACACCACTGACAGCGCCGGTCACATCCGCAAAACTTCAAAAACATAATTGTTTAGAAATCGAAAAGAAAGAAAACAAATTTCTACAAGAGTCGAGACTGTCTCGTACACGTGATCGCTCTCACGGGGCTTCCGGCAGCGGTGAGGAGACGCGACCTGACCCATAAGTCAGCGGCGGCGAGACGGATGATTTTCAGTTGACGACCTCAAGGATGATTACGACGTAAATCTCCATCACAGGTCATGACCCCTCGTCATAGAGCAGCGATCACGGCGCTTCCATTCTTGTCACCCGATAGGACGGAGCGCTCGCTCGGTGGGCCGTAGGGGCCGCTCTCTCCCCTCCTACTCGCGTGCTGCTTGGGGTATGCTAATTGATGCTTGTTGTAATACAATAGTGCTTGGCGGAGTGGGACGCCATGCAATAGAGTTAAAACAGTATACAGCTGTACTTCACGGAGAGCGGCAAAAGACAATGGTGCTTCGCGGTATGGGACGGTTCTCACCGGTTCCGATTCTTTGCAGTGGAGCTTCGTCTTCGTTCATACATACCCGTCGTGTGTCTTGTTCCTTAAATTGTCCTTGTTTTAAAAAAGAAAAAAGTTGTGGT